GTTGCTCCCCCTCAATCTCTGGCTCAACATCATCTTCTGCTGCATCATCATGAGGTGTTTGCACTTCCTCATCAATATCATGAACAGCAGAGGGATTGAGAGGATCTAAATCAACAAGATCATCAGTACTAGACTCAGCTGACTCAAGCTTGTCGATGTCTTCAATAGTCTGATCTTCCAAGAAAACAACATCTCGGCTTCTGACAACTTTCTTGTCAACTGTATCATACAACCTGTATCCAAATTCTTCATGCCCATAGCCAAGAAATATGCATTGCTTTGCTTTTGGATCAAGCTTGGACCTTTCATCTTTTGGAATATGAACAAAAGCTCTGCAGCCGAATACCCTCAAGTGATCATAGGAGACTTCCTTCCCTGTCCAAACTTTCTCTGGCACATCACCATTCAACGGAACTGAAGGAGACAAATTGATAAGATCAACTGCGGTCCTCATTGCCTCACCCCAAAAGGATCTTGGCAATTTAGAATGTGAGAGCAAACATCTGACTCTCTCAAGAATGGTGCGATTCATTCTCTCTGCAACCCCGTTCTGTTGAGGTGTTTTTTAACTGTCTTTTCATGCCTGATACCATGATTTGTGCAATACTGATCAAATGGTCCAATATATTCACCACCATTATCCGAGCGAACACATTTCAACTGTCTACCTGTTTCTCTTTCAACCTTGGCCTGAAAAATCTTAAACACATCTAGAACTTGATCTTTAGTTTTCAGTGTATAAGCCCAAACTTTTCTAGAGTGATCATCAATAAAAGTGACAAAGTATAGAGCACCACCAAGTGTCCTAACTTTCAAAGGACCACATACATCAGAATGTACCAAATCTAAAACATGAGATTTTCTAGATGCAATGTTTCTACGGAATGATATTCTGTTTTGTTTACCATGGAAACAATGAACACAAGTTTTCAAAGGCGTACCTTTTATCCCCACTAGAAGCTCTTTCTTGGACAAAACTTGCAATCCTTTTTCACTCATATGTCCAAGCCTTCTATGCCATAAATCAGTGGATGAGTCATTCTCTAAGGTATTCACAACACCCTTGCAGATTTTTGTTTGCATAGTGTAAAGAGAACAAGTCTTCTTTCCTTTTGCTACCACTAGAGAACCTTTGGAGAGCTTCCATTTTCCATTACTGAAATTGTTGATGTAGCCTTCATCATCTAACTTTCCAGCAGAGATTAAATTGAGTCGAATATCTGGTACATGCCTCACATCTCTAAGCAGCAATTTGCATCCAATATTTGTTTCCAAGCAAATGTCACCCATGCCGACAATTTTTGACACATCTTCATTTCCCATACGGACATTCCCAAAATCACCTTGTGAGTAAGAAGTAAAGAAATCAGCCCGCGAAGTAACATGAAATGAAGCTCCAGAATCAATTACCCAATCCGTCTCTTGGCCAATCAAATTAACGCTAGCATCATCACGGATAATCATGAGTTCATCATCGGTAACTACAGCTGTATCAATTTGTTTTTTCTCTGAATTTTTCTCTTTGTTCTGCTCCTTGAACTTGAGTTTTCTACATTCCCGCTTCATGTGCCCTTTCTTGTGACAATAATAGCATTCAACATCCTTTTTTGACATCGAGCTTGAACGACCTCTAGATTTATCACGGTTGTGCGGAACCCTACTCTTACTCCTGCCTCTCCCCCGATTTTCCATTACAAGTGCCTCGGAGTAAGAAGAACCTGATGATTTTCTTCTTGTTTCTTCATTCAACAAACTGCTGGTAACTTGACTCATTGTTACCACTCCATCAGGTGCGGAGTTACTAACTGTGACCACCAAAGTTTCCCAGCTTTCGGGAAGTGAACTAAGAAGTAACAAAGCTTGCAACTCATCATCAAAAGTAATTTTCATGGCGGCCAACTGATTCACAATGCTCTTCATCTCATTCAAATGCTCTGCAATAGAAGTATCCTCCTTATATTTAGAGTTCACAAGCTTTCGAAATAAAAAGGCTTTATTCACTGCCGTCTTTCTATCATACAAACTCTCCAATTTGGTCCAAAGACCATGTGCAGATTTTTCTGTAGAGACATGATGAAAGACACTATCATCAATCCATTGCCGAATAAAACCGACAGCTTTCCGGTCTAGCTTTTTCCACTCGTCATCTTTCATCCCTTCCGGTTTGCCACTATCACCCTCTATGGGTCCATTTAAATCTTTACAAAATAAAAGATCTTCCATTTTAGTTTTCCAAGTCACCCAATTTGTGCCATTGAAACTAACCATACGTCCAACGTTGCCGTCCATAATTCACACACAGAAATATAACGAATCGGAACCGAATTAACCAATAGCTTTGATACCAGATGTTGGGAAAATAGGCTTTCCCACAAGTGTAAATCAATGGAAGCAATATAAATAAAATAACAGAAAATAAATAAGGACACAAGATTTATGTGGTTCCCTCAAATAACTTGAGGTACATCCACGACGACCGGTAGGTCAGTTTCTTCCACTATCACCAAATCAGATTACAAAGTGGTCAAAAGGCATAAGCCTTACAAACACACCAAGGTGTAAATCACAAGAGGAAAATACCTCACAAAATAAGTGAACCAAATCTCCAAGAACAAACCACAAGAAACCCAAATATCAAGTGAAGAAATATTACCCACTTGAAGAACAAATTTTCAGATTTTTCTGGCACCAAAAAGGAGAACAAGAAGGCTGAATTTTTGTTGAACCAAAGACTGCCGAAAAATATGTCTTCTTGCCAAAACCAACAGAGAAAAGATAAACCAAAAGAAAAGGACAAAACTTATAGTCTTTGGTGGTTGCCAAATTCCTTTTTAACTTGAAGACTCCAAACCAAGTCTTGGATAAGAGTCCTACACGGGTAAGCCACCAAAAAATTAGCAAATTGGTTCCCAGAAAATTGGGGATATCTTTGAGGGGCAGATGTTGTAGAATCAGAGGACAGACTTTAAAAAGGGAATGCATAGGGAACCTAGGACCTAACTCAAATACTGAAACGAAGAAGCAAGTCTTTTTAGTAAAATACACATTGAAGCAGTCCACATTCGAATGAGGATAAACCTCAACACCCTCAGGAAATTGGTAATGACTGACCAAGGACTGAAACCTGTGCTTGGTCATGCAGTTGTGGATTAAGGTTGTAGTTGGTCCATGCAAGTCTCCAGATCTACCAGAGATACTGACCTCACCTGTGGAGATAACTTGGGTGGATTTGGTAACCCTTTTCTTAGGAGCCCTCTTTCTCTTACCTCGACCATAAGTTCCCTCCACAGGCATTCTCCCAAGGAGGAGAGGAGGAACGTCCGATTGAGAAACATTCTCCTTGTAGGGTACCACTGACAGAGGGTCCTCACCAAGTAACAGAACAAGACCCAGACATATCTGAGGTCGAGGGTATGAATAATCTAACTCAAAAGGAATCTAAGGGACACTCAAGGAGCATCCTCAATTGAGCAAGGATCTACGTACCAACGACACAATAGGAATATTCCATATGAGGCCCAAGGTTCCAAGAAGTGGGGAAGAGCTGCTAATTACCTACCTAAACCCCAAAAGTAGCAAAAACGAAACAATAAAAAGTGAAGACCTTGAGACCACCACCAAAGATTGATACCAAGAATAATATCGAAAATAAGCAGATGGTTATCTCTATATCTAGCATGCAACAATACTCAATAACCAGATTGTCCAAAAATAACCTTCGAAAACTATGATCGTATGTATCATCATATGAGGAGAGCAAGTTTTTCTAGCTCAGGTCAAATATTTGGATCAAGCTCTTTTATTTACGATCTGGCTAAAAGAATAAGAGGTCATCCCAAATAGTACAACCTCATAGTATCACCTTTCATAGATACGAAAGACCACACCGTATCCAAGCTCAAAGATAGGCCACATTATTACCTCAGCATGTTTTAGAAGACCATGTCACACCTAGAGAATGTAATATCTGATGGTCAAATATTTCTTCATCAAAATCCTAACAAACTTAAGGACCATATGATGATGACGTGATGACCACCCCACCTATGGGTATAAATACAAGAGGCATTCCTTTATACAACCGAGACCGTTTGTAATTCTTACTTTGACCTAGGAAATCCATTTTTTGATGGTAATTCTTTTTACTGTCACCTATCTTCGATAATGATGCTAACGAACATTGCAATAATTATTAGCAAAAAAATTGTTACTTTTCCCTAGGAAAATTTTCCTAGCTAAAATCCTTTTTTCTTGTAGTTTGTGTTTGTGCCGTTGTATGTTGTTAAGAGAGTGTGTTTTGTTTGCGAAATTTCAGGGGTTGGGGGAGGGGGGTGAAGTGTGTACTGGGAGTGTGAAATTTTGTGGGGAAAGGAGAGAATATGCCTCCATAAGTGCAAAAACCTAGTTATCTTATTAAATAGATGTGCCTACTTTTTACTTTTTCTCTTCATATAAATTTGGAAAATTCTGAACAGTCCCACCAGACTATGGGCCATTGACTAGCGAGCTGGGTAGGCCCAGCGTGGCCCATGGAAGGTGCACATTGTCATTGTGAAGTTTATCCACATAATTGCCACTTAATTATTATTAGTTGTTGTCCACATACGTTACACATAAATTATTATTATTTTTTTATAAGAAACAAAATATTGTATTAATCATAAAAATAAGTATCAAATACCACATACTATTGTTATCAAATATGCTGAAGTCAAAACCTGCTTCTCTCGATACATTGGAGTTAGATATGCGTTGGTTATAATTTTTATAGAAAAACTTTATCGATTCTTAAGAGTTCCAACACCAAATAAAGAGATTACATTATAGAGAGAGAGAGAGAGAGAGAGAGAGAGAGAGAGAATGCACTGTTATACCATGACTTTTTTGATATATCAACATATCCCTAGTTATTTTATATAAAGGCAAATATTCAATTTTTTTTTGTAATTTTCTTCAACAATAGTTTTGGTACATGGATCAGCATCCTTAATTACAAAAAAAGGTGTGTAATTCCTGCAAACAATGTTTATTTCTTTAATACTCCAAAGACATTCAAAAAGAAAACAGAGAAAAAAAAATAGGTATACAAAGACATCAAAATCATGACTTCTATCTATGAGCAGTGAACATTATTGTTGCCAAGGTTGGGTTGGCTAGCCCATGCAGTTTCATAAAGTTGCGATTTAACATTTGTGAGGCACGAGCCGTATTGGTAATCCATTCACTGGAACGGGAGACGGATCAAATTTGACCTTCTCATCTGGAACTAATTTCTCCCACCTGAATCTAGTGACCAAGTTGTGTATGAAGCTTAATATGACTAGGCGTGCAAACTCTGCCCCGGGACACATACGAGGACCTCCGCCAAATGGTACAAAACTGAATGGCATAGGTCCACTTCCTTCAAATCTTGCGGGGTCAAACTTCTTTGGATCTGGGAAGTATTTTGGATTTTGGTGTGTCGAAAATACGCTCCAATGTGCCTACGAATGAGTTGTTAGGTTAGAGATAAAACTTGAACACAATAAGTGAACAAAAATAATATCATGCATGAGCACCAGCTTCTTATCATTACGAAATCTATTTAGGGTTTGAAGTATGTTGGGTTATGGAACAAGAAAATACCTTCCATCCGGTAGGAATGGTAAAGCCTTCGTAAGTGAAGTCACTTATAACATGTTTAAAGGCTCCTGGAGCAGGTGGTGACAGCCGCAATACCTCATTGACAACATTTCGAGAATACCTCATCTTTTGGATATCTTCAAAAGTCAGCAACTTTTCGGGCCCTTTCGACTTTAGGATTTCCATTTGTTCTGTTTTCCAAGGAAAACCAATTTAAGGCAAAGCATACTACATACATGCTATGGAAGAAGAAGAACTAAAAAGACTTTAATGAAAAATTTTAATTAATAACAACCACAATTCGATTATAAAGATCGTAACGAAACTGCTCCAAAATAATATTCATGAGCGTTGCATGAAGTTTATGAGCACACTTTTTTTTTTGAGAGAGAGTAATTTATCATTAATGGATTCTATATGGTTTTATAGTGATTAATTATCCTCGAAAAAAATTGAAGAAAAAAGTGTCATGCGGCCGAACTTTAAAACCAAAAACATGCAAATCTACAATCAAGTTAAATTATCAATTGTTCTTCAACTTCAATTCTTAAAGAATATATAAAGTATATGGAAAATAAAGAAAAATATTAGAGCAATACTATAGGAATCTTATTTTAGGACTTTATTTAGAGACTTAATAATGTAGTTTCAATGCAACTATTGAATTAGTTATAAATTTTAATATTAGATGAAATCTATAACCAATCCAATTGTATATCATTAGATCCAAAAATGAGTTCCAAATAGGATTTCCGATAAAATAATTGACAAGATAAAAGTTTGCAGCATGAATTACCCTTCAAGACTTCTTCATAGACATGGGGATGATCTGCAAGATAGAAAACGGCAAAGGTGATCACCGTGCTCGTCGTGTCATGGCTGGCGACAAGCAAATGCAAAATCTTATCAGCAATTTCCATCTCTGTCATAAACTTGCCATCCTGATCCGTGGAGAGGATCAAGTGACGCAACAGGTCTCGAGTTTCCATCTCTTTGTTCTCCGCCATTAGATCTCTCCTCTTCTTTATGATTGGCAAAAGCTCGTACCTAATCATGTTGGCCGCCTTGATGGCACGGTTGAAAATTGTGCCCGGGAAATCAATGGGTACGGCCAGTAGTCCGGCTGAAACCCGAGCAAAAGAATCTGCTAACCGGGCTACCTGCTCGGGGTCATCAATGCTCATAAAAAGCTGACATGCCAGCGCGAAAGTGTGCTTTCTCGCCAGAGGCAAAGCCTTCACTTCTCTGCCTGGTGTCCACTCTGTTACTATTTGCTGCCTCGCCATGCAGTCCATAACTTCCACGTACTTTCTTAGATTGTCCGGGCGGAGAAACTCCGGTAGATATCCACGAACTTTCTTGCTCTCTCCTATGGTAGAAGCTTGTTTAAAGAGCATAATCTTTTCATGGGTCTGTGGCCACCATGACACAACATGCCTGTTCTCGTTGGAGAACAAGAACTTGTTTCCGGCAGCTCCACAAAGCACTGCCATTCTCTCTCCTATCAGGGAGGTCTTGAATATTTCCGACGAGTATTTTTTCATTCTTTCGTTTACAAACTTCTCAGGAGTACCCATTCTGCCTGTGGAGGCGAATTCGAGTGTTTCGCCTATGATTGGCCATCCGGTGTTTCCCGGCGGAATGTTTTGGCCATCGGGTTTGGACTTATAAAAGAGGGAGATGAGATAGAGAAATGTGCAGAGGACTGCAAGTGCAAGGAGAGGGAGAAACAGATCCATATCTTTGCTTTGTATTTGTAGATATATTTGCAGATTGCAGAAAGCAAAGCAAAGGATGAGTTGTGGAGAGCTAAGAAGAGAGGAGTGGGTTATATATAGGCAGAGGAAAAGAGAGTCTGCGGGTAAAAATGGTAAAGAATTTAAAAAGGCCATCAAGGTGACTAAATAGGCCGTTAATTTAGACTAATTCATACGTCAGCATTGTCAAAGAAGACGCTCATCTAGTCTAGGAATGACTAAATCTTGGTAAAGACAACAATGAGTAGGGAAAGTTTTGCTCCCCTCTCATATAAAATAAACCATTTTTTTCAAACACATACGCTTTCAAACTTACATAATATAGAAAACGTTAGTTAAAATGATGTTTTTTTACCTCACAATAAAATACTTGTAAGTGAAAATAATCAATTGGAATAAGGACTTTAAGCTTAGAAAAATTATTTCAATTGAAATTTTTTAGAACTATACAATATTAAAAAATAAGTTTAAAAGTGTTTTTTGTCTGTGAAAATGAAAATTGTGCATGAGAAAATTAAAAAAAAAAAACTCTATTTTTGAGGACGGGCTCAATTACCACAATTGAAAAGTACTCCGTAAGTATGAACTATTAGACAATTTCGGTCATGCTTACTTTTCAAAGCTGAAAATTCAAGGATGACCATTTAATAAAAAAAAGTCTTCCGGGAAGTCAAATAGGTTGTATTTCTAAAATTCATTTCTTTAACGAACAATGGTAGATGAATTTAAAAATTAGACTTGATAATTTTAACAATTATTAATTATAATTTTTAAGTCTAATTTTTAAGTCCATTTAGTATTACTCTTCTTTATAAACTATTCATGAGCCTTTGACCTTATGATTCCAAATTTTATTGAGGTGGCCAAGCATGTTGATAAGAATTTCAAGAATAATTTGTACAGTGACACTTACATATAATACAATATACTAGTGTATGTGACACTAATCTTTTGATTAATTAAGCAATTTTGGATACTAGAAGGGATGAAAAAATCATTAATCGAGTATTATTCTTATGTAAATGTTTGATCTCGATCTAAACTTGAATTAGACAACTTAGTATGAAATTTTGATTTGATTCTTGGAGCACAAAATTGAAGTAAAAATCAGATGAATTTGGGTTTAACCCAAATCAATAAATTCAGGACATGTTGCTCAATCTAAATACAGTAAATATATATTAAACTTCTTGACATATTAAGATTAATTTGAGATTGACCCATTGAACATGATGTACCCTTAACTTAATGGAAACAATGGACTATTGAAATATAACAAAAGTTTTGGATACATAATAAATGTATATCAAATATGATATAAGTTGGATACTCGAGAATATTTAGTTAAAATTAATTAAAAATATTTTTTGTCTACGTCCTGAGTATGAGCATCTAAATCATTTGCACCAATCTTCTCTCTTCAGCTTTTGGTAGAAAGCCCTATACAACTTTGAAGACATGCAGTTGTTTTTAAACAAAAGGAACATGCGGTTATTTGTTGAGTGTTGTTTACTACTTACTGCACATGTAAAGGACATAAAATAGGTTGATTATATCATTCCTTTAATTAATCACATTTATTTTGTAAAAATGCCATAATTGGATAATCTATTTTATTTAAAGTAAAAAATACTTATTTCTTAAATTTTCATAAAATGCTTAACTTTAGCATATATTATTAAAGAGTTCATGAAATCATCAAATAATAATAAAAATATAAAAATTTGTTTTATTTCAAATGTATCAATATCTTATTTTTGAAATTTTTATTATCTCGTTATATTTAGATTGTATCTTAATTTCTTTTTCTCTTTTTTTTTTTCTGGTAGATTATATCTTACTTATCTAATGTACATGCGTTCTTCTAAGAACGAGAATTTAGGTAGAGTTATGCTACTTTCTGCGTAGTCAAAGATAAAAGCCAACAGACCACCTAGAAACCAGATTACACTTTATCGAATTTTACTTTTTCTGAAAAGAAAACAAAATAAAATTGTGATAAATTTCAATCCAAGTTCGAATGCACAAACTAACGGTCCAACAACGAGTTGTGGTAGTGAACCCAAAAGATGGTAAGTGAATCTAAAAAATGAATATACTCAAAAACTTAATAAACTTTACCTAAAAGATGGTTTATATACCCAAAAAAATGATGAGTAGTAGAGAACCGAAATTTTTTTCCAGTACTTTAGCTAAACCCCCTAGGAACCACCTGTAATGCAATAGTAAATAAGTTTCTACCAAATACTAATGCAAGCCAATGTGTCACATTAATGTCATCTAAGTGGAAGTATCCCACACAGGTTTTTCTTTTGTGTCTGTGTAATTCAAACGACTCAAAAGTTATGTACGCTGAGATTTGAACTCTTTCAATTTTTCAAAAATATCCATTAATTTATTTTGTGCTCGTGGTTATTAATGTAAATGTTAGATTCACATACTATTTGCATTAAGCATTTTAGACTTATCCTGAAAAATCTTCAAATACTAATCCGTAAAACTATATGATCCAAACAACCTTTGTTAATTTTTATTTTTTTACAATTTTTGCATAGTAGCCAAGTAAGATATCAATGTACATAATTGTACATCACGTGTAGCAAGAATAAAAAAACATAAAATTTGTTCCTTATTCTTGCTACCAATACCCCTATCCTAAAATTTCAACCGGTTTATAAATTAGTTGAGTTCTGCATGGATTATTATTATTATTATCTTAAACAGTTAAAGCTTCTTTGTGTTTAGGGTTTTCTCTGTGGAAGCTTTAGCCATATTTGATACTCTTATGACTGCATGCTATTGGAGTTTCTTTAGCATTATTACGGGTCTCGTTTAAATTAAGTCCCTAAAACAATTTTTAATATCATTGCCCGATTATTAGTGACCAATTCAGTAAATTCCAACTAATAAGACACAAAAGTACTGTTTGTATATTGTATAGGTCAAAGTTAGCAACTAGACATCATATGTTCGAGTTATAGAACGAGTCTCCTAGCTTAAAGGAATATGTTTGCACAAATCTGATGTTCTCAACCTCTATTGTGGATGACTTGCAACTGGACTATTTAAAAAATCTAAAAAACTAAAGTTACACAATTAAAAATTAAAAAACCAAAGCGAAGCTGAGCGTAGGTAAATGAAAATTTGTGCCACAAAGAAAGCGTTGAAGAAGATACCCCTTCCTCCCGTATCTAGATGTCCTCCTTTCATTTTCGTTTGAAATGTCTTCTTTTCATTTTCTATTGCCTTTTCTCGGGAGGTGCCTTACTGCGTCATTCTCTTTTGTCCCAAAAATGTGTGTCACAGTTTAGAACTCAAAGCCAGAAGTGTGTTAGCTAAAACCCATCGTAGTCTCAATCCTACCTCATACAAATTTTCTACCACAAGGGTGATTTTGGTATATATGCCAATACATGTAAGACTATTTTGAGTAGTAAATAGTCTCACTGATCTAGAATTTATTAGACTTTCACCCAAGGGGAAAAAATCCAGACTGTTGAATTTGGTGTCTCACTGAAAATACTAAAAAGATTAGTGTCATAACCTAATCCTTTTGAGTGGTAAATTGGCCGGATTCAATAGTAATTTGTGGTAACACATTGGAAAGACACAAAAATGCTTTAACGTAAATCTCAATGGGAACGCTTTTGTACCATCTAGGTCAAGATTGGTTGGCAGTGGCACATACAGAGGCCCCACGCAGACCAACTGTAGCTAAAAGTTAACCCCAGTGGTTTTCCTTTCAAATTTGCATCAGGAACACAATTTTTAAAATCGTAGATATATTATTAATAATTTAAATGGGACCTTCTGTGAACAAACGTTGTCATCCATGTACGGTGCATAATTTATAATTGAGTAAAATTAAAAAATAATAATAGAATATGCAATGTGAATTCTAATAAGTCTATTTATATTTGAGTAGATATCTCAGGAGTATAAGGTATGAAGATCTAGAACCGAATACTCGACACAACAATAATTCAAAATACAGTTTCTTTTTTCCTCGGAGGTAAATTCCTATTTTTTTTCAACATGAGGCGCCTCTTAGAATGTCATGTTACAAAACTCCACAAAGGAAAATTGGGTGGAAGATACACACCAAATTGCAAGCGTTCAATTCAAACCCAACTTCTGATCAAAATAAAAATAAAAAATTCAAACCCAACTACCTTTTTTTCATTGGAACAAATAATAAATGAAATATCTTGCATTGTTTATCTTGAATTCAATTTGAATAGTCAGCATTTGAATCATTTAATGGCATGTCGGGTCAGGCAGCTACGAAGAAATTGTACCTAAGGGCAGCTCACCTGATTGGGAAAAAAAGAAAAGAAAAGATGCCTTTAGTCTCATTCTAGAGGCTTGTCGATGACTGATGGGCATGGAAATATAAGTATTAACCATAGAGTTTAATAACAAGAGGCTATTGAGTTTAATTTTTTAGCAAAAATTTTTAAAACGGAAATAATAAAACTTAGTGACCATTAATAAAATTATCAATCTATCAACAAATAGCTCTAAAATTTGTTGAAACGACAGTATGTTCTAGTTCTAGAAGTATAAATTTCTCAATTATTTGTTACATAATAGAGGAAGAGAGATGTGTATATTTGTTTTGGATGAGTTTTTTTTGGAATAAGTTTGGCTCAGGGTCAGCTCGGATTCGGCTTGGGCTTCTGCACTCAAGTTTTAAACAAATTGAGCTTGAATAATTTTTTAGGCTCGTTTATAAAAACGAACTTACTAAATTCAAATTCAAGCTCGTAAACTTCGGTTCAATTAACACCTCTATCCAAGACTATCAAAACTGAGTCACATGTTGTTTGGAATCCGTTCGTTTATAAAAATATCTTAAAAATCTAATATAATTTAGTTATGCTTAAGCTCTAAAAAAGTCTGAAGAAGTAAAAAATAAGTTAAACTTGAATTATTTACCTCGTTTAACAACCCTATTGATTGTATGATTGTGCAAATAATTGTGGCCAGCAGCCAAACAAGAACAAAAAAGATAGTAAGAAGATTTGATGGGAATGAAGCAAGAAAAAATATATACTAATAGAAAACATGAAAAGAGATAGCAAAGATAAGAAGGCAAAAATATAGTTTATGGAAGACTCAACCCAACGTTCAAA